AGAAATGATCAGTCTATAATTTTAATGGTAGGTTTATTTGAACAGTGAGAGTCAGAATAACAACAAAAAAATCCAGAAAACGCATGTCAAAAATGTTATAAATTGATTTGCATTTTAATGAGGGAAATAAGTATTTGACCCCTCTGAAAAACATGACTTAGTACTTGGTGGCAAAACCCTTGTTGGCAATCAGAGGTCAGACGTTTCTTGTAGTTGGCCACGAGGTTTGCACACATCTCAGGAGGGATTTTGTCCCACTCCTCTTTGCAGATCTTCTCCAAGTCATTAAGGTTTCGAGGCTGACGTTTGGCAACTCGAACCTTCAGCTCCCTCCACAGATTTCCTATGGGATTAAGGTCTGGAGACTGGCTAGGCCACTCCAGGACCTTAATGTGCTTCTTCTTGAGCCACTCCTTTGTTGCCTTGGCCGTGTGTTTTGGGTCATTGTCATGCTGGAATACCCATCCACGACCCATTTTCAATGCCCTGGCTGAGGGAAGGAGGTTCTCACCCAAGATTTGACGGTACATGGCCCCGTCCATCGTCCCTTTGATGCGGTGAAGTTGTCCTGTCCCCTTAGCAGAAAAACACCCCCAAAGCATAATGTTTCCACCTCCATGTTTGACGGTGGGGATGGTGTTCTTGGGGTCATAGGCAGCATTCCTCCTCCTGCAAACACGGTGCATTGAGTTGATGGCAAAGAGCTCGATTCTGGTCTCATCTGACCACAACACTTTCACCCAGTTTTCCTCTGAATCATTCAGATGTTCATTGGCAAACTTCAGACGGGCCTGTATATGTGCTTTCTTGAGCAGGGGGACCTTGCGGGCGCTGCAGGATTTCAGTCCTTCACGGCGTAGTGTGTTACCAATTGTTTTCTTGGTGACTATGGTCCCAGCTGCCTTGAGATCATTGACAAGATCCTCCCGTGTAGTTCTGGGCTGATTCCTCACCGTTCTCATGATCATTGCAACTCCACGAGGTGAGATCTTGCATGGAGCCCCAGGCCGAGGGAGATTGACAGTTATTTTGTGTTTCTTCCATTTGCGAATAATCGCACCAACTGTTGTCACCTTCTCACCAAGCTGCTTGGCAATGGTCTTGTAGCCCATTCCAGCCTTGTGTAGGTCTACAATCTTGTCCTTGGAGAGCTCTTTGGAGAGTTTGGAATCTGATTGATTGATTGCTTCTGTGGACAGGTGTCTTTTATACAGGTAACAAGCTGAGATTAGGAGCACTCCCTTTAAGAGTGTGCTCCTAATCTCAGCTCGTTATCTATTTAAAAGACACCTGGGAACCAGAAATCTTTTTGATTGAGAGGGGGTCAAATACTTATTTCCCTCATTAAAATGCAAATCAATTTATAACATTTTTGACATGCGTATTTCTGGATTTTGTTGTTATTCTGTCTCTCACTGTTCAAATAAACCTACCATTAAAATGATAGACTGATAATTTCTTTGTCAGTGGGCAAACGTACAAAATCAGCTGGGGATCAAATACTTTTTTCCCTCACTGTAACATATTTATGACACTTAAAACATAATGGGATGAATTTTCTTGAGAAATACACAAACATTGCTAAATTTGTGGGTGTTCAGAAGCTCCACACAGACACACCACAGCAGAAATTTTCAGGAGTTACGACTTTTATTTATGATTGTTTGTAAATGAAAAAAGGAGTCGGGAGAGAGAAATTTTGGAAAATTGGGTGCCTCGAGAAAGACCGATGAATTTACAGTGAATAAATGACAGCGGCAATGACAGCTATGCAGTTGTAGTCAATAATTCAAAGCATTCCCAGGTAGGTAGGAGACAGGAGAGAAAGAAAAAACCCACATGTCCAGGAAGATTTGATCTCCCTAAGGGTAAATACTAACAAATTCATTTTATCCAGTGTTTATTTCTTTCCAACAGACAGTTACAAGAAAGGAAAGTGTGCACACACTCACAGGAATTTCTTATTTGGGGAATAAAAAGTGCAAGCAAGATCACAGCACGACATTTTACAAGAGGGCCAAAATCCTGCTTCGTTTGAGGACTGGCCAATAATCTTATTTCCCTTCTGATCCCACCCCCAGTCTAAAGATGGGGAGGGAGTGAAGGATGCTGAGACGGAACAGGACAGATCACTGGGCGACCCCCCCCCCCCCCCCCGTCATATCTGAGCTCAAGTCACCCCTCTTTCTGCAACTCTATCTTCTCAGATAGTACAATCAAAGTAGTTTGACTCCACCACATCCTCATAAGTGCCAGGAATAAATTCAGAAGTAAAGGCTTATTATCAGTAAACACTTTCAGATCAGTTCACCTCACCCACACAGAATCACAAGTCATCCCCTGGCTATTACCTCAGTACCGGCTCTGAACACAACTCTGATTGGATATTGGTGGGAAACTTAAATAAAAGGAGTCAGTCCATAAAAAGGACAATCTATCATGACACATTGCACTTATCACAATCAAGGTGCCCCAAAGTCAGTAGAATGACATTCACTCTGGCCTGATCCTAGATCTGTTTGTGCTGTCTTGTCAACTCCAAGGGTCATTGTCATGCGACAGCACAAACAGATCTGGGATCAGGCTACTGTCACTTGGTGCCAACTACAGCAGCGAGGACTGAGGCCTCAGCAGTACCCATTCTAACACAGTACACTAGTGTTAACTGTAGTATTGGATGTATCGTCATGCAGCTTATGTCATGGAGAGGAAGTTTGAAAAATAATAACCTTCTTTTGACTGTGTTTGTTTTTCTATGACCTCATTATTAGTTTAAAGAGACACTGTGTGCATCCCAAATGGCACCCTATTCCCTATGTGGTGCACTACTTTTCACCAGAGCCCTATGACCACTGTTCAAAAGTAGTGCTCTATAAAGAGGAAAGGGTGTAATTGGGAACAGAACCACTGACAGACAGCACCTTTAAATCTGTCTGTGTCTCCCCCCCTCTCTCTCTCACACACACACATGTACACACACATGCCAAACAAACACACTGTGCAAAATGTTTGAAGTACAAAAACACCAACAAAAACAAGAGAACAATACTGTGAGAGAAGAGATGAAAACATCCCTAGTTATTCGAGAAAAATAAATAAAGTAGATATCAAAATATGAAATCGAGAGAATTTCTGGTATCACACATGCCTAAATGATGGTACATACATTTTGGGTAGCGCAGGTAGTAACATTTTCCCCAACATGTGTGTGTGTGTTGGGGATCGTACCATAGTAGAATATAAACACATACATTTGAAGAGTAGAGACATTCCAAATATGGAGGCAAATATGACAACCACTTTTAAGTGCATTAAAATAGACAGAAATTGTATTTCTGAGTTCATAAGTCGATATGCACTGAGAGACGGTGAATTATGAAATTGCAATTAGTATTTTTGATAGACGGAGAGAGTGACAATCTATTTACAGCAAAATGTCTCCCAACTTAAAGAGAAGAGGAGGAGGGATCATTGGACCAATCAAAGTTGCAGCGTCATACAATAGTCCAGTCAGATAGGCCACTGGGAGAGGGGACTTTGGGTTGAAAAAATACTTGTCTCAGTGCAAGCTCACAAACACACATGCTGGCGTCCCAGTTAGTAGAAGTCCTCTGCTTTTAGCTTACTCTGAAAGCACATTATATTACAAGGTCCTAGCACGCAAAGCAGTCTTGCAGATAGTAAAGAGCTCATTCTACTAGTTTTGATGACTTTTCACAAAAATGAGTTATCCTTCGAGAAAGAAAAGGGCTCGGAAGAGAGAAACGGCGCAAGCTGGCTTGAATTCGTTTGGTCCAACAGAAAACGTAATACAGTAAGTCATGGTGGTGTTTCTAGGAATCAGAATCATCAGAAGCCCCTCCCATTCCTGCTCCCCGACCCTGCCATAGGTCCTGCCTAGCACCTGGTTGGCTACGGTTGGCTCTCACTTCCACGCAGTTTTAGGAGGGCACATTTACCCTCACTCACACACACATACACACGCACATATACAGATGGACACACACACAACTTTACCCAAATGGGTCACAAACACATTATTGCGAATTAAGTGTGCTTTCTTAAATACATTTTATCCTTAAAATATCTTTAAAAACTATAATGTTAACACCATGCAAATAAAGTACAAAAAAAACAACAACAAAAAACATTTGGGCCCTGTATTTCTGACAAGGCCAGACATTAAAATCTCCATTGTCCACACTTAAAACATACTTACATTCTTGCTACGCACACAGACAAAATACACCAAGCTCCGCCAAAGTCATAGCAGTCTCATGTTGGCTTTTTCAGTTGTTGTTTCGAAGGAAATTAAGGTAACAAGAAGTTCATAGTTGGGGAAAACCTTTGCTCTAATTCATTCTTTTTTTGGACCCACAATTTGATCTAAGTGGCTGATGGCAAAGTGACAACCTCTCCACTCCCTCTCCTCTGTAAATGTCATCAAGCCACAATAGCTCTGAGCGATGGTATCAATCCCAGAGTACTTCACTGTCAAAGGCCTTGAGTGGTGGCTCCATGTGGGAGGAAGGGGGCGGGGCTGCAGCTGCTTTGAACCTAACGAGGAGTCTGGTCATCACAACGGCCTGCTTCTCCCTCTCTGTGTGTACTCTGCTGCCAGGGCCACGGCCGAGTGTATGGGAGAATATGGCCACAATGGCAGCTGATGCTCGTTAGGGTTCCTCTAAGGACCCTTCACAGGGGAGAGCGTGCCCTTGTGGGTTGCTGATAAATGGCTCTTCGGAGGAGGGCCCGGTGGGGCAGCCCAGTTAGGCTATTGATGATCAGATCCTCCCCCCTGATGCTGCTGGGGATAGAAGCTGGTTCCTCCTGGGCCGGAGGTGCCAGAGGTGGAGGGGACTCCAGCGGCAGGTGGCTGGGCAGACTGGGGGAGACCTGGATGGAGCATGGTGCACCCTGGGAAGTAGGTGCTTCCATTGACGTTAAAACAGCTGGGGCGGGGAGACCTGATGACTGGAGAGATGGACAGACGTCTGTTGTCATTTCATAGAGGAGTAAAGTTGGTCCAGTTGCCATGTTTGGTGGTGGTGGGGGGTGGGGTGGGGGTTGCGGGGTGGCGGTGTAGCGTGGTAGATTAGGTCAGGGTAATGTAGGCCGAGGCCTTCTCTTTTAGCTGTCTCAGACACAGATGGCAACTCCAGCTCCCTGGAAGATCAACGGGTCACAAGTTCACTGGTTATTGGAAAGCCCAAGGATTAATCCTAGCAGAATAAATTAACACTGTAAATTGAATACTGACTGACTGTTGCAAGTGCAACACCATATACTGTGGTCAAGTAGCATAGGAGATTTGCAATCTCTTAGCCATGTCAACTGGACATGTTGATGACACAAGCAATCAGCACATGCACATGGCCTTTCCTCTTATAATTCACCAACTGTATAAGTCACATTATGAACCCAGCCATTGCATGGTCATCAATGAATTACTGACAATATGCAGGCCTATATCCTCCACTGTACCTACCCTCTGGGGGCTCCGCCATAGGGGGGCTCAGGCAGTACATATGGTAGCCTCTGTCACAATCATCACAGAATAGTAACTGATCCTGAAACAAGGAAACACACATTTTAGTCATTTAGCAGACGTGGGAAACGAACCCACATCCCTGCCGGCCAAACCCTCCCCTACCTTGGACGACGCTGGACCAATTGTGCGCCGCCCATGGGTCTCCCGGTTGCGGCCGGCTGCGACAGAGCCTGGACTCGAACCAGGATCTCTAGTGGCACAGCTAGCACTGCGATGCAGTGCCTTAGACCACTGCGCCACTCGGGAGTCACACAAATAATTTCATGACATTATCAATCAAATATAACGACAAATATGTATCTGTAATGTTTAACCAGATGCACATCCTACACCTACTACACCTACCACACATACTACACATATACATTTACATTTACATTTTAGTCATTTAGCAGACACTCTTATCCAGAGCGACTTACAGTTAGTGAGTGCATACATTTTAATCCTACACCTACCACACATACTACACCTACCACACATACTACAGTCGTGGTCAAAAGTTTTGAGAATGACACAAATACTAATTTTCACAAAGTCTGCTGCCTCAGTTTTTATGATGGCAATTTGCATATACTCCAGAATGTCATGAAGAGTGATCAGATGAATTGCAATTAATTGCAAAGTCCCTATTTGCCATGAAAATGAACTTAATCCCCAAAAAACATTTCCACTGCATTTCAGCCCTGCCACAAAAGGACCAGCTGCCATCATGTCAGTGATTCTCTCGTTAACACAGGTGAGAGTGTTGACGAGGACAAGGCTGGAGATCACTCTGTCATGCTGATTGAGTTAGAATAACAGACCCGGAAGCTTTAAAAGGAGGGTGGTGCTTGAAATCATTGTTCTTCCTCTGTTAACCATGGTTACCTGCAAGGAAACACGTGCCGTCATCATTGCTTTGCACAAAAAGGGCTTCACAGGCAAGGATATTGCTGCTAGTAAGATTGCACCTAAATCAACCATTTATCGGATCATCAAGAACTTCAAGGAGAGAGGTTCAATTGTTGTGAAGAAGGCGTCAGGGCACCCAAGAAAGTCCAGCAAGCGCCAGGACCGTCTCCTAAAGTTGATTCAGCTGCGGGATCGGGAATGGCAGCAGGCAGGTGTGAGTGCATCTGCACGCACAGTGAGGCAAAGACCTTTAGAGGATGGCCTGGTGTCAAGAAGGGCAGCAAAGAAGCTACTTCTCTCCAGGAAAAACATCAGGGACAGACTGATATTCTGCAAAAGGTACATGGATTGGACTGCTGAGGACTGGGGTAAAGTCATTTCTCTGATGAATCCCCTTTCCGATTGTTTGGGACATTCAGAAAACACCTTGTCCGTAGAAGACAAGGTGAGCGCTACCATCAGTCCTGTGTCATGCCAACAGTAAAGCATCCTGAGACCATTCATGTGTGGGGTTGCTTCTCAGCCAAGGGAGTGGGCTCACTCACAATTTTGCCTAAGAACACATCCATGAATAAAGAATGGTACCAACATATCCTCCGAGAGCAACTTCTCCAAACCATCCAAGAACAGTTTGGTGACGACCAATGCCTTTTCCAGCATGATGCAGCACCTTGCCATAAGGCAAAAGTGATAATTAAGTGGCTCTGGGAACAAAACATCGACATTTTGGGTCCATGACCAGGAAACTCCCCAGACCTTAATCCCATTGAGAACTTGTGGTCGAACCTCAAGAGGCGGGTGGACAAACAAAAACCCACAAATTCTGACAAACTCCAAGCATTGATTATGCAAGAATGGGCTGCCATCAGTCAGGATGTGGCCCAGAAGTTAATTGACAGCATGCCAGGGCGGATTGCAGAGGTCTTGAATAAGAAGGGTCAACACTGCAAATATTGACTCTTTGCATAAACTTAATGTAATTGTCAATAAAAGCCTTTGACACTTATGGAATGCTTGTAATTATACTTCAGTATACCATAGTAACATCTGACAAAAATATCTCATAACACTGAAGCAGCGAACTTTGTGAAGACCAATACTTGTGTCATTCAAAAAACCTTTGACCACGACTGTACACCTACCACACATACTACACCTACCACACATACTACACCTACCACACATACTACACCTACCACACATACAGTGGGGGAAAAAAGTATTTAGTCAGCCACCAATTGTGCATGTTCTCCCACTTAAAAAGATGAGAGGCCTGTAATTTTCATCATAGGTACACGTCAACTATGACAAAAAAATCCAGAAAATCACATTGTAGGATTTTTAATGAATTTATTTGCAAATTATGGTGGAAAATAAGTATTTGGTCACCTACAAACAAGCAAGATTTCTGGCTCTCACAGACCTGTAACTTCTTCTTTAAGAGGCTCCTCTGTCCTCCACTCGTTACCTGTATTAATGGCACCTGTTTGAACTTGTTATCAGTATAAAAGACACCTGTCCACAACCTCAAACAGTCACACTCCAAACTCCACTATGGCCAAGACCAAAGAGCTGTCAAAGGACACCAGAAACAAAATTGTAGACCTGCACCAGTCTGGGAAGACTGAATCTGCAATAGGTAAGCAGCTTGGTTTGAAGAAATCAACTGTGGGAGCAATTATTAGGAAATGGAAGACATACAAGACCACTGATAATCTCCCTCGATCTGGGGCTCCACGCAAGATCTCACCCCGTGGGGTCAAAATGATCACAAGAACGGTGAGCAAAAATCCCAGAACCACACGGGTGGACCTAGTGAATGACCTGCAGAGAGCTGGGACCAAAGTAACAAAGCCTACCATCAGTAACACACTACGCCGCCAGGGACTCAAATCCTGCAGTGCCAGACGTGTCCCCCTGCTTAAGCCAGTACATGTCCAGGCCCGTCTGAAGTTTGCTAGAGTGCATTTGGATGATCCAGAAGAGGATTGGGAGAATGTCATATGGTCAGATGAAACCAAAATATAACTTTTTGGTAAGAACTCAACTCGTCGTGTTTGGAGGACAAAGAATGCTGAGTTGCATCCAAAGAACACCATACCTACTGTGAAGCATGGGGGTGGAAACATCATGCTTTGGGGCTGTTCTTCTGCAAAGGGACCAGGACGACTGATCCGTGTAAAGGAAAGAATGAATGGGGCCATGTATCGTGAGATTTTGAGTGAAAACCTCCTTCCATCAGCAAGGGCATTGAAGATGAAACGTGGCTGGGTCTTTCAGCATGACAATAATCCCAAACACACCGCCCGGGCAACGAAGGAGTGGCTTCGTAAGAAGCATTTCAAGGTCCTGGAATGGCCTAGCCAGTCTCCAGATCTCAACCCCATAGAAAATCTTTGGAGGGAGTTGAAAGTCCGTGTTGCCCAGCGACAGCCCCAAAACATTACTGCTCTAGAGGAGATCTGCATGGAGGAATGGGCCAAAATACCAGCAACAGTGTGTGAAAACCTTGTGAAGACTTACAGAAAACGTTTGACCTGTGTCATTGCCAACAAAGGGTATATAACAAAGTATTGAGAAACTTTTGTTATTGACCAAATACTTATTTTCCACCATAATTTGCAAATAAATTCATAAAAAATCCTACAATGTGATTTTCTGGATTATTTTTTCTCATTTTGTCTGTCATAGTTGATGTGTACCTATGATGAGAATTACAGGCCTCTCTCATCTTTTTAAGTGGGAGAACTTGCACAATTGGTGGCTGACTAAATAATTTTCCCCCCCACTGTACTACACCTACCACACATAGGCCCAGATTTGCTAAATGTTTGCACCACGTTTGTATTTTCCAGTGTGTTTTAACCTTTACTTTACCCTTTTGATCTGTCCCCAATATTGAATTCCCTGTTGTAAAAACAGGTGTAAACACTTAGAAAATCTGGGCCATCGGGTGTTAATCATACTGGAGGATGAGTGTCCAGGTGAGTGTGTGTTGGGGTAAATGTAGAGTGGGATATACACTGAACAAAAATATGATCTCAACATGTAAAGTGTTGGTCCCTTGTTTCATGAGCTGAAATAAAAGATTCCAGAAATGTTCCATACACACAAAAAGCTTCTTTCTCCAAATGTTGTGCACAAATTGGTTTACATCCTTGTTAGTGAGCATTTCTCCTTTGCCAAGATAATCCATTCACCTGACAGGTGTGGCATATCAAGAAGCTGATTAAACAGCATGATCATTACACAGGTGCACCTTGTGCTGGGGACAATAAAAGGCCACTCTGAAATGTATAGTTTTGTCACACAACACAATGCCACAGCAATTGGCATGCTGACTGCAGGAATGTCCACCAGAGCTGTTGTCGCCATCATAGTTTTTTTTTGCAGACTGTCCAACCCAGCCTCACAACCGCAGACCATGTGTATGGTGTCATGTGGGCGAGCTGTTTGCTGATGTCAACGTTGTGAACAGAGTGCCCCATGGTGGCGGTGGGGTTATGGTATTGGCAGGCATATGCTGCAAACACAATTGAATTTTATCGATGGCAATTTGAATGCACAGATACCGTGATGAGATCCTGAGGCCCATTGTCGTGTCATTCATCCGCTGCCATCACCTCATGTTTCATCATGATAATGCACGGCCCCATGTTGCAAGGACCTGTACACAATTCCTGGAAGCTGAAAATGTCCCAGTTCTTCCATGGCCTGCATACTCACCAGACATGTCACCCAACGAGCAGGTTTGGGATGCTCTGGATCGATGTGTACGACAGCATGTTCCAGTTCCCGCCAATATCCAGCAACTTCGCACAGCCATTGAAGAAGAGTGGGACAACATTCTACAGGCCACAATCAACAGCCTGATCAACTCTATGTGAAGGAGATGTGTCGCACTGCATGAGGCAAATGGTGATTTTCTGATCCACGCCCCTACCTTTAAAAAAAAAGTATTTGTGACCAACAGATGCATATCTGTATTCCCAGTCATGTGAAATCCATAGATTAGAGCCTAATTTATTTATTTCAATTGACTGATTTCCTTATATGAACTGTGACTCAGTAAAATTGTTGCATGTTGCATTCATATTTTTGTTCAGTATAGATGTTTGGGGAGTATGAAGGGGTGTGTGAGTGAGTGCGTGCGTGCGTGCGTGCGTGCTTGTGTGTGTGTGTGTGTGCATGTGCTTGCGCGTGGTGCTCACGTCATTCTCGGAGGTGCCACACAAGCTGCAGGACTTGCACTCGATGCACTGCCAGCGGTAGGTTCGCACTGCTGCCGTCATGTTGACTGTGAACTGCAGGCAGGACGGGTGACCTGGGTACACAGAGAACGACACACACTCTTTTCATGTTACTCCCTATCATCACCATCATCATCATCACCATCATCATCATCATCATCACCATCACCATCATCATCATCAAGTTGGGCTTGTTTCTATTACTCTAAAACATAATAACATCTGTGTAATAATTACACATTTAAAACCAACTAAAACTGATGTCCATCGGAGTGTCTGTCTGTCCGTACCTGAGCGTCCACAGTCGGCACAGGAGATGAGGTCCTCGGGACAGCCGGTCTTCTTTGAGCCGCCCAGGCAGAAGTCACAGTAGCCGTTAGGGATGACCGACCCGTCTGCAGCTTTCTTAGCTGAAATCACACAGGTGGAAAGGTTCCATACAATAGAGCTACTTCCTTAACAAACACTCTCTTACAGAAAAGCAGCATATTATATATTACTTATATTCTATGCACTATTTTTTGATCCAGCATTTGTATGAAGCTCCATTGAGCACAGAGAGAGAGAGAGAGAGAGAGAGAGAGAGAGAGAGAGAGAGAGAGAGAGAGAGAGAGAGAGAGAGAGAGAGAGAGAGAGAGAGAGAGAGAGAGAGAGAGAGAGAGAGAGAGAGAGAGAGAGAGAGAGCAAGAGAGAGCAAGAGAGAGATATGGAGTGAGAGAGAGAGACGAGGTGGAGACAGGAAACATCGAGTGAGACGGAGAATATGAGACTTCCAGCCAGCCAGACTGCAGAGCATCCCAGCTGGATAAGACTCTCCTTCCTCCATATGTTGGTTTTGGTAACGCAAGCAGCAGGCCCGCTGAAGCTTGGGACTCGCCAGCTCGTGCTCAGCCAGGGAAGGGAGGAGGAAGACGGGGAGGGAAATCCACTGGGAGGCCCAGGGGTCTGTTTAATATTGTCAAAGGAGTGGTGGGGGGGCTGTTACAGACCTGCTGTGCGTCAAGTGGCAGGTGCGCAGTGGGAAGCCATTTTAGAATAACCATTAACGGAGAAGAACGTCTCTCTGCATGCATCCTCTCCGTCTCACTGACTGCAGTCGATTGCATAATACCTTTAATAGCTCTGATCACGTAACCAGGACAGTCTATTTGTATATGTCCATTGTTCCTGTATTAAGATGTAATGCAATGGACAGGAACATCACAGTGACTCACCAGCGGCGCACGTAAGACAGATGAAGACAAACCGACATACAGTAGACTAGACAAGCACACACAGGAATTCATCTCGAATACATAAACACACACACACACACACACAGAGAATACAGCAGCAGTGTGCATGGTGGAGTAGTCAGTGGCTGTCTGGTGTGTGATTTGGAGAGCCAGGGCCCTCTCCAGCGAGGTCATTAATCCAGCCCAGGGTGGATTGTGGCAGGGGGCTGGGGGAGGGGTGGAGGGGAGGTGGAGGGGGTGGAGCGGAGGGTGTGGAGGGGGAGATTGGGTTTTCTACTCCACAGGGTTGGTTTATAATCTCTAGAGAGACAAAAAAAACTCTGATCAGGATGAGGGGGGAGAGCTGTCCATGGTACCAGCACGCTGCCAGCCAGGCAGCTCTGTACTGTATTGTATAATGAGGAGCAGTAATGTACAGTGGAGTGGTACATTACCTACAGTCAGGGGGCTGTGGCAAACATACCACTATCCTCACCTTCGTCTACAACACTTGCCACTTGGGCACTGAGGTATGTATGGACTATATACAATATGAACATATTTTATGCATATACAGTACAAGCATTAAAAGCAAGGCAAACTAGGTTTATTAATTAAATACGTCACTGAGTTTAAGAATTAAAAAAAGCCTTGTGAAAAAACCACACACCGCTTCTTTTTATGTATTTTATTTCAACAGACTACTGCTGACTGTGCTTCACCACAGTCCCTGGTGGGCAAAACTGTATATGCACACACAATTACATAAAAATATATGCCAAATGGCACATACTATAAACAGTGTTGCTCTGAGGCTCTGCAGACCGTGAGGCTGTGAGGACCCCTGAGAGTGAATCAGCAAGCCCTGACACATCTGTGCGTGAGAGGGCTGCCCACTGGCCTGCCTGCTCAGAAAGGAAAGCCCATCAATGATTAAATGCCTGTGGCCATGTTTAAAGTCTGAGACGCTAACCTGAGGTAGTATATCTTTGACACGGACAGAGAGAAAGAGGGATTGAAAAAGAGAGAGGGGGGGAGGAGAAAGTGAGGGTGGGAGGGAGAGGCGAGACAGCGAAGCAAGAGGAAGAGAGAGACAGAGACATACAGACCAAACCAGACAGAGACACAGAAAATTGGCAGACAGACAGGCAGACAGACAGACAGAGACAAAGAATGCGCGAGAGCGGTTGCACGTTCCTGAGGTTGTCAAGGGTGATACACACCTCCCTCCCTCCCTCCATCTCAACTCCAGCACCACCTTTCCTGTAACACCCCTCCAATTACTGGGAGAATACAGGCAGAACAGCACACTTCACAGCTTTTAAGTGTGTCTCGGAACCCACTGGGAATTAGGGGAGAGAGATGAATCCTGAAATACCCCCCTCATATCTCCCCCCTCCCTTTCGTTGCCTTCTCTCGCTTTCTCTCCCCCTATCTCTCTCCCCTCTCTTCGCCTACCTATCTCACTCTCTCTAAGTCTAAGCCTCTCTACCTCTCCCCTCTCCCTCTCTCCCTCTCTCTATCCCCCTCTCTCTTCATCTCTCTCACTCTCCCGATCTCTCTCCAACCCTCTCTATCACACCGCGCTCTCATTTTTCTCTCCAACTCGCTCTCCCTTTCTCACTCCTTCATTGTCAATACAACCTGCTCCTGGAGTTTTCACAATCTCATTCTAGCACAATCCCTAGCCTAAGATCCATACCGCACCGGCTGGTCGATAAAGTGGCCACAGCCTTATCGAATTAGCACTTCCGCAGGAATACCCACAAGCACCTGTTGCCTGGTCTCACTTGCTCTATGCTTCTCACTCTCCTCCACACTTTCATTCCTTCTTTTGCTCTCTCACCCATGTCTCTTCACTCTGTTTTCTGAGCATAAAATAAACCTATTCACACTGGTCCAATCATACAGTACAATGAATATAAACCTATTCACACTGGTCCAATCACACAGCACAATGAATATAAACCTATTCACACTGGTCCAATCACACAGCACAATGAACATAAACCTATTCACACAGGTCCAATCATACAGCACAATGAACATAAACCTGTTCACACTGGTCCAATCATACAGCACAATGAACATAAACCTATTCACACAGGTCCAATCATACAGCACAATGAACGTAAACCTATTCACACTGGTCCAATCATACGGCACAATGAACATAAACCTATTCACACAGGTCCAATCATACAGCACAACGAACATAAACCTATTTACACAGGTCCAATCATACAGCACAATGAACATAAACCTATTCACACGGGTCCAATCATACAGCACAATGAGCTTAAAATCATACACAGAGCCAACTATTAGATAGCTTAGCTTAGTTAGTATGGTTTTGCACCTGACAATAAAACAGGGTTTTACTAAAGCAATCCTACTAGTCTAGGGTGAACCAGTGATGATGCTGTCTATGATGTCACTGTGAACAGACCATACAAACAGAGACACAGATCAGCTCCTAGTCTCACCTACACACTGCCTTCCCCATAACACCTGTATGCAGGTGAGCAAATAGAACAGAAGAGGAGAGAGGAAGAGGAGAGAGGAGAGAGGAAGAGGAAGAGGAAGAGGAGGAGGAGGAAGAGGAAGAGGAAGAGGAGGAGGGAAGAGGAAGAGGAGGAGGAGGAAGAGGAGAAAGGAAGATGAGGAGGAAGAGGAAGATGAGGTAGAGGAGGAGGGGAGAGGAAGGAGGAGGAAGAGGAAGAGGAGGATGAGGAAGATGAGGGGGGGGAAGAGGAAGAGGAGAAGGAAGAGGAAGAGGAGGACGAGGAGAGAGGAAGGGCAGAACACAAAGAGGAGAGGGAAGTGAAGAAGTGGCTGCTGCTGTGTCAGAGCATCAGGGTGAAAACACACACTCTGCACTCCTGTCACCAGGCTGCTTAATGAGGGAAGTACCACACCGGGACACACACATACAGATACACACTAATATAATGTATACATACACTCACATTCACTGGCACACGCACACGCACACGCACGCAAGCATACACCGAGACAAACGCAAGCATAAACACACAAAGATTCATAGCCAGCACATCTTTGCATAATAACTTTTAAAGGCTTGTTCCACTCCAACCCCCACCCTCTATCTTTAACGTGACGAATGAGAGTCCCTCTGCCCCCAATCCAGCCTTTAGTATCAGCTTTCATCCAATGCATACACACACTAGGGCTGTGACGGTCAGGCAATTTTGGATGACGGTTATTGTTTTTTAGTTTTTCACACATTTTCTCCTCTCCTCTGCTATACCTTATGAAAGTCCTGCATACTTCCTGGTGCAAGTCCCGTACTGTTTTTGAATGGGCGTCAAGCTTATATCATCAAATACATGAAAATGGGGTCATTTAAGATATATGTAACATAATATTTGTATTCATCGATTAAGGTTTTCGATTATGAAAAAAACCTGCATTCAAAAACCTTCATGATAGGCATCAGGTAGAAGTAAATGAATCCACGAATACGAATATATTTGAACATATAACTTAAATGACTACGTTTTCATGAATTTGAGGATATAAGCTTGAGTGGGGAAAGGGGGTGTTGCCTAGGCAACTGAAGACTTGTTTGATACAACACCTTGCTTATTTCACAGACTGAACCGCAAGAATGCCCAGCCGTCCAATCTTCAGTCAGCTGTTATTTCCACACAAAAAAAAAAAGGTTATTTTATTTTCATGACGATCTTCATCCATAACTGTGGCGCTAACACACACACACACACACACACACACACACACAAACACACAGTACACTCACGTACAGGAAAGGACAAACAACCATAGACAGAGGCAGCACAGAGAAACCACACACACACAGCACGAATGCACAGAGAGACAATGGTTCCAGTATTATGCAGGGAGAGAGACTGAGTCAGTCAGACGAAAAGTGTCAGTCACAGATGAGATATCTCATGAGGAACGTTTCCTCTCTCTCATCCTGTCTGTGCTTCTCTCTTTCACAGAGGAAATTAGATTTTTTTTTCTGCAATCCGTCTATTGTCACACAAATACCTACACCATGTCTCCACCTTCTTCAATTCTCTATCTCTCCCTCTTTCTCCTTCTCTATAGACACACATGCACACACACAAACACACACCAGCAAGACGCAATGCAATAACATGCTCATTTCTCTCCCCTGTCCAGTCAGCAGGTTGCGTAAGTCCCAGTGCATTGTGGGTCTGAAACAGAATGACATTGCAAAGCGAGAGGACGGTGGAGATTTTGGTGCATAACAAAACTTGATCTATGGCTGCAGTCTAATCACACTGACCTGCACACGCTATGTCAGCCTCTGTGGCAGCATAAATA